GCGCATTGCTACCCCTGTAATTGTTGAGTTTCTAAGTACGCGCAACCTTAGGATCTTGGCAGTTACATGTAGTATATAATTGGGATGTTGTGTTCTTGAAATGTATCTTCCTATGTAATTGCCTCTATCATCTGTAATCATGCTTGACTTGTATGTAAATTTATCACTCGGGCCGATATTTGACTTGTAAATAAGTGATATAGGCCAGAAACGCTGTCATCACATCTTTGTATAATTGATTTTTTATAGAATGTTCCACTGTTTGTAAATTAAAACTTTCCAGATCGTCAATGTATTTTGAGACTTGTTGGCGTATGTGACACAGATCTTGTTCACTTGCTTTCATGTTGACTAACGCAAATATTTCATCCATCGCCGTTCCGGCCCATTGAGGATTCTGTTCAAGCGTTCCACTTAATTGCGTGAGACACAGATCTTTCTCGTAAGACATGATGTTTGAAAATGAAACTCTACAATGTTGGTAGAAGGATATACTCGTAAAAAAGTGTCAATCAAAAAAGTGATTGACAAGCTGTCATAAATTCTAAAAGCATATAAATTCAGCGTTTGCTACTCACTCGCTTCAGTGTAGCGATGCCTACTGAGAAAGAGCTAGCTTGTGAATGTGGTCTTTGTGTTCCTTGTCTATGGAAAAAAGAGATTTGGAAAGAAGCTTGTCACAGAGTCGATATCCTCACCTTTAGAAAAGCTTATCTACCCAAGTGGATTGAAGACATGACCGAAAAGTTGGCTAAACTTAAAATTGAATAAAAGATGCCACAACAACAATACATTTGGAATAATAAAGCCTTTGCCCAAAGACTAGCAGAAAGATGGTTCCAATGTACAAACTGTTGGCATTATACACCGTTTTATTGTAGTTATTGTCTGAGATGTCATTTACCGGTACGAATCGTGGAGAATCAAAAACCCATGGATATTCCTTAAAGCTAGCAGTAGATACAATTTCATCATTTCATACGAAGTCAGGAAAGTGTGTACATCATCATGAGCGACGTGAGAATATTAAACGATCGTGAATTACTTTACCAACACAAGTACCTGTTTGATTTGGATGCCACAAACAAAATAAGTAGTCCTCGTGAACTCATACGCGGCATATTGGGATATTTCAACAAACCTATTTCGATAAAGATACGCTATGAACTGATTTCTACCACACGATATCCCATGAAAGTGTATTTTTCTTGCGGTATTTACAAGCTGCCTTTGACAAGGAATTCCCTGACATTCACATGAAAGATAAAACCAGTAAATATAAGTTCATGGATGCATGCGAAAATGTATTTGATGACATTGTGCATGAAGTCAATGACTGGCCAAATCCTATCGGCGCTCACATGCAGCTCTACCTGTTTCAGCATTGGGAGACGTTTCAGCAATTGGGTGAACGGTTAAGGAAAAATAATTTTTATATCGATGATGTCACAGAAGTCTGGACAATGTTCCATAATCCCATGTTAAGCCATGCCGAGGTCATGAGTGAACTGGTGACATTGACCTGTGAAAAATATTCTCCAGAGTGGTTCAAAAAATCACTGGAATCGCAGCGGTTCATCAAAGACTGGTGAAAGTAGTTTTACAGGAACAAAGAGGTATCATGTTCTAGAGGTGTATGTCGAACTATGATTGGATAGAACATGTAAGTCGCTATGATTGGTTAGAAGGGTATATATCAGAGACAGCCAAACCACAAGGCGTCCTCTTTCCCCTTAAGACTGAAGAAAGTTTCAAGAAGAAGAATTAAAGACCAATTAGCCATGGCAGCCAAAGCAGTGCAGATGTGCCCTGAACAAGTGTATTTACTTGTAGATACGATCCTCGATCTACTTAACAAGGATGACACTGCGGACGCTAGGATCATACTGGACAGTCTCGAAAAGGATGTCTCGCTTCCAAAAAATTACGGCGATCACGTCTATGAGGAAATGAAGAAGAAATTGATGGATAACATGAGAATGCTTCTTCGATACATTGCTGAAAAGTTGTTGGATAAGCAGTTGCAGAGGTTGGAGAGATCCAAAAAGGAGAGCAAGAAGTGAACAATTTTTTTTTTACGTTTATTGAACATTGATTTAACATTTTTGGAACATTTTTGGAGTTTGTAGCCCATCTGGATGAATTTAAGGTCGCATTTAATACAATGTAGTTTCAATAAATGTATTTGACAGTACAGATGTGTAGTCATTTTATGGGAGGATGGAGTGTTGTAAAGACCTTTCCGAGTCGTATCCCCAAGAAGTATATTATCAATCCTATTTTTGCCCGCACGAAATTTATAAATTCGATACACCACCCGATTCGCCTTTAATCTACCGCTTATAAGCGAACCTAATTATACCAAATTACCGCATACATGCTGATAAAGTAGGACCTATTTACCTAC